AAAAAAAAATGCATTTTTTATAAGTTAAGAACTAAAAAAGTATGAAAAATAGTTAAGGGACTAAAACTGTTCAAATATTAAAAATTTAGATACTAAAATTAACATTTAACCTTTAAGTTATGGGTACCATTGCCATGTATTTAAAATTTTCACCATGTTGGCTAAATACAATCTGATTTGGAGTTATTTTTGGTCCACTTAAACTACTTTTCTCATTAGTCATTGCCATGTCAACAAAATTAAAAGAAAATGCCAGGTGAATTGATTCAACGGTCCACGTTACACTTAACTAACAAAGGGACAAAAAATGTACAATTTTCAAAGTTGAGGATGAAATGAGTGTAAAAAAAAGCTATAGGACAAAATTTGTTTAAAATTGAAAGTTTGGGGACGCAATTTGGCATTTAACCATTTAATCACTGATTACTAAGAAAAGAAAGTTTACCTCCTATCAAACAGACTTGACTTTTAAGAATTATGATGCGTACAACCAGCGCGTCTATCAAATTAAGCCAAAGTTTTAAGTTATCGAAGCAATTGTTTCGTGATGCTTTTTTTTCTTTCCAATTTCGTCAAAGCAATTGCTTCCTAACGCTTTGTTTTCTAACTTCGAAACCCTAAACACGTGAAAAAGGGAATTAAGTTAATTTGTTTTTAACTGCTTTCGGCCGAAAAAAATGGAACCAATAAGGTTGCTCTTCTGACAGCAAATCACCTGCCAAACGCTTTTATTAATAGACATTTCATCTCTACCTCTTATATAAAGTTGACTTGCACGCAATTGGTCCACCCACCTGTCCTCATCCATCCCTAACGTAGAAAATTAGAAATGCATAAAACCATAAAACCAACCTAAACTTATTTGAGTAGATAACTTCTTCTAGAAAACTGTTTCTTATTTCAATGGAGTTGTAGAATATGAGTACTTTAAAAAAAAAAAAAAACCCTTCAATTGGGATGTCATTTTCCAGCACAAATTGTCATAATAGAGGTTATTTTAAATATTATTTTACTGTAATTTTAGTGCAAACTATCATAATAAAAAGTATTGCAAAAGACATTTTCTTTTTTTTTGGAATAGAAGCAATTTTTTTGTATCTTTTCTACATATCTGGTCTACCACATATTTATAACTTGAACTTAAAAATTTAAGATCTGGTAATTTGGCAGCTGAAAAGAAGCTTTTGGCAGTTGGAAACCAACACATGCCTATAAAGAGATGGAAGGAGTTATGGTATATATATATGTTAACGTTACACATTTCAAATTAATGTTGCGTGAAGAGCTGATTCCCTGAATAGAGAGGGGAACATGTAAACACTTGCCACGCAAAAGAAGCATAAATTTATACCAAAAGAAGGAAGCAATGGGCCTAAAAACAACAGTAACAGCATTCGTTCTCACATGTATGGAATTACTCACCCACTCCTTTTAAAAATTTGTTTATTAATGCATGTAAATGAAAATCGTGGATTGTTTTGGGAGTTTTTATTTCTTCTTTTGATGGAAAGATGATACCGACAATCACTTAGGTTTTAAAGAAAGATTAGTCTTGTTTTATTGGTTATTAGCAAATAGCAATGGACAGGTATAACATAACGAGCACATAAAATGACCTAAATTGCTTAGTACTAATCTTTTTCTAGTAGAATTAAGTAAAAAAATCCTTAATTTGAACTATATAACTAGCGGGAAAGATAAGTTAAGAGATATGAGACTGTTGTTTTCATTATGCCACTCAAGATAAAAAAAAAACATGATAAGCACATATGGTCCAATATAAAAATGAGTACATACATAATTGACCAATTACTTAATTATAATCTTATTCAAAATTTTACCGACAAAGAAAAAACTTATTCTCGTTATATTAAAATAAATTTCTGAAAATTGATAAAAAAAAAATTTCTCTTAAAAGATCAAGATCAAAGATCAAGTACTTAATAATTAGTTAATGTAATAGTCATTGGTTAAGTAAAGCAAGTAGGACAAATCATTCTTAGACAACAGAAAAAAGTATAGAAATATAAGAGTGGACAACATGTGAACATATCTGATGAGGATGGTAAACACGCAAAGAATTAATGCAATAAACTAAAAGAGTCGAGAGGATATGCTGTTCTGAATATTCTGTTCTAACCCTACCATTTTGCCTTATAAATCTATCTTGCAGCCCCTTCCCTACCTCTGAATTTCATTCTTAACTCCAAAGCAGGCCAAATAAAAAGGCTCTGACTCCTTGTGAGATAAGAAAAAGGAATCATATAGATCCAATTGGAGATGGTGAAATCAAGCTCTTCGATCCTTTTCAAGCTTCTCATAATACAGTATCTGTCAGTTCTTTGCCTTTCACAAGATTTTGATTTCT